TTGTCTATTGTCAGTTTGGCTGATTGCGCCTCGAACACTTATGGCTATGGTAGCGAGGTGAGATCAACAATGATCTGCTCGTACACAGCGGGCAAAGATTCATGCCAGGGTGATTCTGGAGGTCCATTAGTTTCCGGTGGAGTATTGGTAGGCGTTGTATCCTGGGGTTACGGCTGCGCTTATCCCAACTATCCCGGCGTATACTCTGATGTGTCTGCTTTACGCTCTTGGGTTGTGGACGCAGCTGGATCTGTTTAAAAAGCATAAAGTAGTTTCAAGTGAATAAAATTCAAACCGTTTCTTGCAAATATCTTTGGAATATATTTTAATTGTGTAGAGGAAGCTGCAGCATAAAAAACCTTGTAGCAGGTCTAAGGTCTTATCCACGATTTTATGCACTACGAAAATTCCAACTATATGTATGTATTTAGTGGATTTGCCAGGTCAGAAGTCACACTAATAAGACACACTGATGTAATACCTTTATTATCACACAACACTGCTAATTAATGGGACTTTGTAAGCCATATTGGCATGGCTTATACAGAGGTATTATCGAGATGATGCTTCTTATGCAACGGACATGCAAATTTCGATAGCCCGAAAAGTAACGAAGTATTTCATTTTATACGGGGATTCAATAAGTTCGCAGATGTTTGCAATAGGGCCACTGTTGCATGTGTTGTGTAACAAGTGGTAACGTCCTGTTGCAACCACGCATTTTCAAATTCCATTTCATCTAATTCATATTATAAAAAGTGTGTTTCAAGTCACGATAAGTCTACTTACCGTATGAGCGTTAACGGCATCATTTTCGAAGAAGCACGGTCCGTTATCTCTGTCAGCCCAAAAACCTTACCAAACAGTGACTCGTTTTGGGTGCATAGTTTTTTTCTTGCAGAGCCCTCAGAATCAGGAAAAAGTTCAGACTATATACCTCCTACATTAGATTTTAGGAAAAACTTTCAGATGAAGTTTCCTGCTAGGCGCGGCTGGAGTACAGACATCTACATATATAGGCGGATTCAAAATATTCTGCTTTTGGGTGCAGTGGTATTCCCAGAAAGGCGGGATATCTCCCTTCCGTTCCAACTACCTGACTTTTCTGCCATTTTTCAAGGGGAAGTGTTGCTTATTTCCATCGACGCTGATCAAGTTTTGGTACCGTAGAGTGGATGCAAGAACGAGCGCTGAATTTCATGCGTGCCTTATATTTTCAATATCATTTCTGCTTATGCAAGCGCAATTTTAAGAAATGAATATTTTTTTAAAGAAGAAAGAGTTTGGAATTCGTCTAATAAATTTAAAACGAAGGCTGCGTTTCGTTATACATTCCGGATAATCCGATTTCACAGCCGGAATAAACAGAATGCGTTTGAAATATACATCAACATATCATCAGGAATGTTCTAAAGAATAAATAAACAAAAAAGTTTATTCCAAACGTTCGGAATGAATAAAGAAATGCAGCCGAAATGAATTTGGTAATTTTGGCAGGGCGAAAAAATTACATAAATAATGAATATCCATAACTTTTCTTAAAATAACCACCTGCAAAGCGACTGAATAGTCAAACCTTGTCCACGCGAGTCAGAGCTGAAAAACAGTTAAAAATTGGTATGCTCACATGGATCAACTTTGCTCTCGTCTCCGATCAGCTTCCACTCTGCGGGGTCTTCGCGATTTAGTATGAAATTCTATACACCCAGTTTTAAAGCTTATCTCTCGCATTCACCATTATTACACTTGGCTCGCCTTTCAGCGCCCACTCTTATTATCTTCTCCAGCATACAAATAAAGAAGTCGCACGACAGAGTATCGTCCTGTCTGATACTCCATTTGGTATCGAACGGCTCAGCTAAACACAATTTCACACGACAGTATAGACTTCTTTCACCTTAAGTCACCAGTTTATTGATGTTCACAAAATACGCTCCTTAAGACTTCATAGACCACGTTTAAGCGGTCGATCCCATGGGAAGTAGTTGTCACAGATTTCGGAGTCGCACTTCTTATGGATTGGGCAGAACTTAGGGCGTCAAATCCAGCAGCTTTGATGTTTTTCGTACGCGACTATTGCTCGGCTTCATCTTCTACTCTCGTTTTAGGAAATTACTATTTAACAGGGAGGAAAGGAGTTGTCATGCGAGGCAGTTTTAACTTTTTGATTGGAATTTTTTTTCGTGGCAATGCCCAAACCTAGCGCAACTAAAGAAAGCGAGCCGTTTTTTCCAAGACAGATTCTGCAGACCTCATTGGATCCTTCATCGGAATAAGTCGGAGTGAACCCACTAGAGCTCCCTCTCTTTCTTTCGTGCACAAGGGTGCATTCGGGTTTGTTACCGCATTTCGCACATGAATTTTGTGTAGCCGGAAGCCCCACTGTACCTCATTGCACGAACAGAACACCGCCAGTGTGTAAAGTCAACGCACAAAATCTCCGGCATCACTTTAATCGATGCAGACTTTTCGTTTGTTGTTTACTACCACAAGGGGATTGTCCGTGCAAAATTCTATTTTTTTTCTAGTTATTCGGGAGTGATACTATACATTCAACAGATATGTACATAGGAACAAAGTGTCCTAGACCACCTGTCCACCCCTTCTAAAATGGAGAAAAATATTTTTATTGGAAAACGCACAAATATGAACTACCAAGTCGGGGAAGATCTAACTTTTTTTTTGTATTACCGACTTCCGGTTTCGACCGGAAGTAGGGTAGACAGTTCAGAAGTCCATTATATTAACCGGAAGTCTGTTCCAGAAAAACGTTTCCGAGAAAAGTTTAGTATATTTGTCCGTAGAATTCGAATCTGTGGTAAAAGCATGTATGTCAGATTACAAAAACTGGACTTCCGGTCAGTTTAACCCACTTCCGGTCGAATCCTAGAGCATGCCCGCCTTGGTAGTTCATATTTTTTACATTTTCCAATAAAAAACATTTTCCTCCGTGTTAGAAGGGGTGGACAGGTAGTCTAGCACACACCCTGTATACATATGTATGTACATTTTAATTTAATTTTTCCCAATTGATTTTACTTAAAATATTTCCTTTGTACTTGTAGAATGAAACTAATAGACTAATTTATTCGATATTCTTATAAATGTACTTACGTAATTATACCTTGTGCTCAGTCTCCCGTAGTTAAACTTCTCACTTCACCAGCTTTACGTAGCAACGCTTAGGGCTATAAAATAAAATTTACCACTTTTAATTTTTATATAAAATTTAAGTATATAGTTTTATGAATTTCTTTTATTTATTTTTTACTCTTATTTTATTGATTTTAAAATTTCCCAGTGTGTCGTCACGGCGTTTTCACGAGATACATATATATCTTGTCGTTTAACACCTCTTTAGTTCTTAATATAACACTCTTTTCCTTTCCCGCCCACTTCCTATCGCGTTAGCGGCACGCCTACTCATCTCACGCACCCATCCTCCACCTGCCCACAATTCCCACGGAAATGATTTGAAGATATTTACAAAATGAATTTATACTTTTGGTACATAACTTCAATTGACACAAATTGCACCATATTTCTGTTTTTTTTTTCTCTCTCTTTTTCTTCACTCCGCCCCATTGCAGAGATAGCAACATTAACGCACAAATTTACTTCGGTAACATTGTACAAAAACAAAACGGTACGTTATGCGGCGCGTATGCATGCGATCATCGCCTGTCAAATGGAATTCCAACTCTATCCGATGGATATACAGGTGTGCCCCATTTACATTGAAAGTTGTAAGTTGAAATGTCAATGCAAAACCTTAGAGTGCCATTGTTGCTAATTCTTTCCCACTTCCAAACAAAAAAGTCTCTTCGAATAACAAAAAAGTGAAGTTACGTTGGTCCGATTCTGGCGTCACTTTGAATCCCGAACTCAAATTGCTGCAATACAATCTCGGCCAACCGCTCGAGCTTGAGGAGAGTGATGGTTATATGCCCGAGAAGGTGGGCAATTTTTCGCGGCTAACTGTGTATTTCCGATTTGAACGACAAATCGGTCATCATCTCATACAAACGTTTGCGCCGTCATCGCTTGTTGTGATGTTGTCATGGTTTAGTTTTTGGCTGGGACTCGATGCGATACCTGGTCGTGTGACGTTGTTAGTCACATGTATGCTAACGTTAGTTACTATGTTCACCGGTCTGAGAGCAGATATCCCGCCAGTGGCCTATGTTAAGGTGAGTTGAAGGGAGTGTATTTTTACTATCTTTACTAATTTTGTATTTTCTTTTTTTCAGGCACTTGATCTATGGATGGCCGGCTGCATGGTATCCGTGTTTGCGGCATTAGCGGAATTTGTTGTTGTCAAAGTGCTAGATGTGCAATATCAATATCAAGTTAACAAAGTACCTAAAGTATTGCCCATGGTAAGTAATAAATGTTACCAGATTTGCTGTTTTTCATGGCAGAAATACACTCGGAGGTTTTGCCGAGGGATGACCGCTGTTAAGAAAAAACCTTTTTTTTTCTATATTTTTGCGATGTTGCTTTGACCAGGGTTTGAACCCAGGCATTGTGGAGTGGAAGCGCGCACTGCTTACCACTACATCACAGCGGCCGACTAAACAAAGTAACATAAGAAAATGAATACAACGTAGATTTGCCAACTAGGCAACATATGGTGTGTTCATGTCTCATTGCTGATCAATCGGAAATGCCTCGTTACCACGTAAACCTCGTAAACTTACTTACATTTGTATGGAAAGCGAGTTTATTTACGAGGTATACTCGGATTCGAGGCATTTACGCGTTTATACCCTGATTATAAATCGATTTGAGTGTGTCCTACTGCAATGCCGTATTGTTGCTACTCTAAATCCCAATTAGAGACTGATAAGAAACTAAGGGCCGTTTTCACCATCTCTGGTTAACACTAATCCCCAGTTAAACATTGTTACCGACCCAATGTTAAATGAATGGAGTCAGTACTGTCAGTAACGATGTTTAACTGAGGATAAGTGTTAACCAGGGATAGTGAAAATGGCACTTAAGTCCTCCTTTTGTAGAGAATGTTATGATTTTCGATAATACCTGCAATCGTTTGCTGACCTGTAAGGAAAAAGTTACAGTTTTACTAATTTTTTAATGCTTTTTGTGACCTAAATGTTCGTTGGGAAACTCTTCAGCTGCCCAGCTCTCAGTATAGGCCATTTCAATAATAAATAAGATTAAACATGACAAATAAGCCGCCTTCGATCCGCCTCTTCTGTGCTATGTGTATGTACATATGGGCGATTCCAGAGAAAAGTCTACCGCGTAAAAAAAATTAAAAGTCCTATATCTTACTTATTTATAGGCCAATTTGTCTGCTTTTTATAATATATACTGGTTATGTAAGCAGAAACATTTTTGCCAAAAATGGTCGAGATATTTTTAAAACCCATAAGGCTGATTCACATACAACTTTCTTCGCTTTGCTTGATAGTTCTTTGCTTTGACATATAAGATCGATGTAGGCATATGCATGAGTATGCTCACATAAAAAACGTTTGAAGCAAAGCAAAGCAAAGCGAAGCAAAATCTTGGGCAACTCTCAACTTTTGCCCGCTTTGGCAATCAGCTGTCTCTATGTATCTTTTCTCGTGCGCTTGCATTTGCATTTAATGACAAAAATAGGGTAAATAGGAATTTTTATTGCTATTATTAATGCATATTATTATATTGTTATCTATTTTAGTCCCCTTTCAGACACGTCAAGTCTTGCTTTCAAGTCTGCTCGTTCGTTGGCTAAGGAGGTGAGAAGAGAGGGGAAGAGTACAGATACCTCCGTACCGTCAATTCGTTTCAAGTTTTCTTGTCTCTTTTGATCTTTTCGTTGATTCCCATTTAAATAACCAAGGACTTGAATTCAATTAAAGCTGACGCAAATAGAAAACACAAAAGAGAATGCGAAATAAATTGCTTTCAAGACTTGACGTGTCTGAAAGGGGACATACAGTGAAAATATATGGAGGAAAAGGAGAACGCAAAAGCTGTCAAAGCGTTTATTGTAGCATACCTTCTGCGTTTCACGCTTTGTTGTCAAAGTTTGAACTGTCAAGCAAAGCGAGGAAAGTTGTATGTGAATGGCCCTATATTTATGCTCTGATAAATTTCACATTTGGCATGTTTAGTTGAAACGTAATAAGACATAGATTTGCAAAAAACTCGAGCCGCTGGTGGCGCTGACGTCAAAATAAAAAGTGCGCTCGACATAAAATGCATGTGTTCTTCCCGTTAAAAATTCTATCAAGAACAATATTAACAAAACTTTTTCAATGCAAATTTGAGTAACGTCACGTTAGATAGCTCAGCTGATTAAACATAAAGCAGAAAAGATTTCTACATTTGAAAACTTGGAAAATTATCCACTTCTCTCTCGCCAGCGCGTATGTTTACTAATATCCTTAAATCGCTACTACCAACAGTTGTAAGTTTTTTTCCTGAATAAGGGGTCATTTAATTGCTACGCAAATCTAGATAAACCTTTTTAAAATTTTGACTCTTTCAATATGTTTTTTAAACATTTGGTCGTACGAGTGTCGCGTATCGCCAGTGTAGAAATACCCATATATTAGTAAAACGCTATTTTTTAACCGACTTCACAAAAAGGAGACGGTTATCAATTTGTCGGAATATTTTTTTTGTAACATAACTGCATAACTTTGGACCACGTTAACCGATTTCTATAATCCTTTTTTTTTTAAGGAAAGGTGTTACCTCACAGGTGGTCCCATACTAATTTGGTTAAAATCCGATCATTGTATCATGAAGAATTTTTATAAGAATTGCAGTCGTTTTTTTTTTGCATAAAAATTACTTGTTTGTTCCATCTTTTCAGCGTATTAGCAACATGGAAAAGGGTCAATGTCCAACGGTGGCTAGCTGGGAGGGCGGTGCAGTGCGTTCACGTAAATCAACACAAACACCAACAACGCCGGGACAGGTGAATGACACAAAGATTTATCTTTAATATTGTATACATATGTACAAATGCAACTAACAAAAAATGTTAACTTAAATTCTTGACAGACATCACTGCAAGGCAACGGTGGCCCACCGAAGCCAGCGCGACGCCAAAGTCTACTGTCGGTGGCCTGGACCGATACCGACACGGGCGTAGAGAAAATAATGTGGCGCGAAATCGACAAGGTGTCACGGGCTGTTTTCCCCATTTTGTTCTTCGTCTTCGTGCTACTCTATTGGCCGATATTGCTGATGAAATCATCCTAGGATTTAAGGAGTTCCAGAATACCAAGTTCTGGACTCCGCTAAAGACAGATATGCCTATATATGTATGCCTGAATGTATGTACATATGTATGTATTGAATGTCTGTGCACAGGCAAATTACAAGAAAGGAAAAATATTGAACGTTTCTTTTTTGATTCCGAACAGTACGAAGTACAGAAAGACATCGTAAGCGCTAAACCAACGTAGCTAGTATTTGTGCTATAAACATGAAAAATTTTGAAAAAAAAAAACCTTAAACAAAAAAATGCCTAGTTTAACTGAAAAATGTATAAAAAAGAGCGCTACTTACATAATTTGTAATTATATAGACAATTGCCTTTACTAGTGCTTCTAAAAGTGGGGTTATTGGAAAATAGATTACCTAGAGTGAAATAAATATTTTGCGTAATTGTAGCCGCGATTTATCTTTTTTACGTATGCTGGTATAAGAAATTGTATTATATTTAAGAATCTAGATAAATATGTAAAATAACAGCGCTTTGAAATTTATTTGAATACATATATGTATGTGTTTTAAGTTTTCATAGATTTTAACAGTAAGTAAATATATGAAATGATTAAAACAACTTAAATTTTCAGGGAAATCCACTCACTTGCTTACTTTCATTGCCAGCATAATTTCGTTACTTTGTTTTCCAGTATAAAATGGCGATGTATGTATGTTTATCATTAGCCTATTTAACAAATGTTTATAATCACAAAGTGCACATTTCACACTTTACATTAAGAATTTTATTGAATTTCGCAAGCCACGCCAAGAGTTCCGCGCTCGCTGTCTTCACTTTGATGCATAAACGATACTAAACAGCATCGTTCAAATGCACTTTCACCAAGATATCATTAATTTCTATTACACAGGCCAACAAAAATGGAAAAATATTTGATGCGACTAATGTTAAAACTGCTTTGTGCTGATTAAGAATCCGCAAGTATAAAGTTTCCATCAGCTCCAGATTTCGAGAAAATCGGGGTCAAAGTATCAAAAACCGCGTTTTTGCAATATTTTTGAAGCCCTAGCAAAGAAACAGGAGGTGACAGAACCTTCCACTTGGGCTTGAATTAAAGCCAGAACTTTCGACTACTATGAAAACACTGTCGCTGCACCATGATCTGATGGTCACTTGTAGTCATTTATTGAACGACAAACGGGCTCCGCCACGAAAAACGAAAAATCGACATGCTGCAACCCTTGCGGAAACATGTGCAGCATTACCACCCTACAAGAATTGCGTGATGGAAAGTAACATATTCTCATTTATCTTACTAACACATTTGCAAATTTTTCGTTTCGTTAAAAAGAGACCATTAAATAAGGCCATAAGTTGGAGGAAGACGGAAGATCACATGTACACAAATGTTTACATCAGATTTTTCACACTGCCCTTTAGAATTTTATAGAAACTTGTAGGTAGCCAGTGACAGAAATCTCTATCAGTCTTGCCACTCAAATGATTTGTCTAATGATAGTCACTGTTCTTGCAGGGCAGCTATCAGTTATTTTTCAAAGTCAGCTGTATGAAGGAAAACAAAGTGGAAAGGAATTAAAAAACACTCATCAAGTGCTTATTTATAGTAAAATTGTTTGACTTTACATTTTTTTGTTTTTGCAGAAAATGATGGACTCTATTGCAGCGGAGTAAGAGCGCGCTATGGAAATTAATTCCCAAAGCTGTGCGAAGCTGTCGGGCATAGTTGCCTTGGAAGCATCTATGTATGCCAGATTTTGGTTAAATTGTTGAACCACAAGCCATATCTCCTCTTATGCCTGAAGAACTGATTCTCAATCCAGTTAATGCAAAAACAGATTCTTCCAAGCCACTGAAAAGATGGGCTTGTTAGGTTGCGCTTGCTTCCCTTACTTACCCTTGCTAAGTAGAATTCTCCTTTCTGTTTTGCCGTTTCTTGTGCGTATACATAACTTCGGCTACGCCATCCACATCGAAATTTACAAAAAAAAGTGCATGGTTCAAACCGAATTTTTTAATAAACTAGAGCTCGGAAATTTTGTCTTAAATTAATCCTTTGACTACACGTGTATGTAAGTTTTTAGATTCGGGTGATGCGTTTGGATACAACAACCCAAAATCATTGTACAAATAACTAAACCGTACCGAAGTTTCTCGATAAGGGGCAACACACATTCGTTTTTGTTCATTCATATAAAGTAGTGGATAAAAATTTACGTATATGCGAAAGGCAAATTTATCTGTTTAAAAGAACACCACTAATATTTTCTGCAAACACACATCGATTTACATCTTTTTTCTTAATTTTTATGTCGCTTCCGGATGGTATTTTCAGGGATAGAAGACGCGAGTGCTTTCTTTAATTTAAACCTAAGTGGAAGATTGTATCAGCTCTCAAATATTGCAAACGCGATTTTTTGACATTTTTACCTCGTTTTTCTCAACATCTGGAGCTGGCGAAAACTTTATACTTACAATCTTTACACTTTATCAAAACCAGTTTTTACATTTTCCGCACCATTGCCCTGTGCTATTTTTCCACAAAAATATCTTATTTGCTTTGAGTTTGCTTGAGAAATTATATTTTTTCTCTTTGCTCTAAGGAAGTAGCACATTTTTCGCGAACGTGAAAACGGAACTGACAGAAAGCGGTTTGTTGGCGCCTAAATTCCGGTTAAACATAGGGTGACAATGGTATTTTAATTTTTGTATGTGGTATTAACATTTCGAATGCAATGGTCAAAATTCATATAAAAAATATCGTATAATCTTTTTCAGCTATACTTTGCGATTTATAGCTGCAGAAACGAAATACTGCATATCCAAACTTATGCATTTTGCTTAATCTCCTTTACTAGACATTCGTGCCACCCTATACTAGACTAGTTTCGGTCGCCATCTTGACCATCATTGTCCTGTCAATTACCGTTTCCCGCGAATACATAAACGTTAGCTGCTGTAAAATTCATTTTCAAATGTTTTCCATCAATTGTTTAAAATTCGGTTTAAAACGCATGTATGTACATAACTACATATCGTCGCCTGGGTAAAAGATTGTCGTAAGCGTCATACGTACGTGCGTAACATACGACAATTTTTTACCAAGGCGACGATATGTACAGGTTTTTTTTTGTATTAAAAATAAAAGTAACTTGATATTTGCAAATATACGTGCACATATATATGGAAGTGTTTGAAAAAATACGGTGTTTACATGAGGCCATAAGCAACATTCGCCTAGCGTTGGAACAAAAACTCTGTATTTCCCAGGTTCCAGGTAGGATGCTTTCTGTGTATACATATGCATATCTATGTATGTGCATCTGTAAATAGATCTATATTCAATATCAGTATTAAATAATAGTAGTCTAAACAAATACGTATGTACTCGTACTTTTCAATGGTCCTCTGCAATAACAACACATTTCAAAATTCAAAAAATTAGATCCCTTACTACTGTTAAATAGCTCATGTCTCTAATCCATGTGTAATCCTTGCTAAAATAAGTAGTCAAGATGACTACAGTAAATAGGGATTGGACAATAGACAGTAAATAGGAAGAAACAAGAGCCAAGAGTTAAAAAAGAAAAATTTTAGCTTTGAGTACACATTTAACCTTTCAAAAAACCATGCAACAAGTGCCAGCGACGCGGATTCGGCCGAGGATCATAAGATTAAAAAAAAAGAACCTTTCCCCAAATTCATTTAGATATACCATCGGGAAAAATATGTTTATGCATTAAAAATTGCGAATGTATTCCCAATAAAAAAAATTATAACGTCATTTTCTTACACTATTAAAGTCATTGCCCCGTGTGCATAAAAACTAAGCAATTACTTTTTCTCAAAATTTTATACCTTTCACTTTAATTTATTTGAAAAAGTGAAACTTGAAAGAAATTGATTGTTTTTTTTTTTAATCTTCACTCAGTATTACTTTCGCTATCAGTTTCCGCGTCGTCTTCAAATTCAGCCACTGTTCCATCATTGCTCTTCGATTTGATTAGGAACATTTCATCATCATCTTCATTATTGCTACTATTATTTTGCGCTTCTGTAGAGATTGTATGAGTTGCTCCTAAAGTTTCACGCTGTTTACTTCGCTCTTTTGCCGCATTCAATAGTACGCGCATGGTATATTTATTGAAATCGCAGCTAAAACGAAAGAAAAATTAGATAACATGCCAAAGATTATAGTATGCGAATATAATTTGAGAAGGAATTTTAAAAACTCAAAAACACTTGGCATTCGTAATTCGGTCCTTGAAATATTTTAAGCACGTTCCTTGAATTATATAGCAAATTCTGCGTACTTACATGCGATTAAGCAATTCGTATTTTTGTGATAGGCTTTCCTGTAGCGGTAACAATCCATGATGCTGCAACAAATCACTCTTGTTGCCATATGTAGTTAATAAACTGCAACACCAATTTAAGTAGAATTCCAGATGTGTAGAGGTCTGTAAGCCACGGGCAACTACTAGAAGCAAAGGCTGCGCAAATGTTTCAGGCAGTGTCGAACAAATAAGTTTTACTGCAAAAGGTTAAGAGATATATGTATGTGTTTTCTAGTAAACAGTCCCGAAAGAACTTCACTACTTCATTAGCACTTACTATCTTTGTGTGGAATTTTCTCCAACACCATATATATGAGATGAGGCTCATTTAATTTTAGAGACATAACCAGTGCTTTCGTAAAATCATTTTTATCTAACGACTCCCGTATTGCCTTAGGTGTCACCTCCAAGGATAAGTGGAAAGGATCGAAAACAACACCTACAATTAGGTACAATATACAGTTTAAAGTCTTTTTTATTTTATCAATATCATAAATACCTTTATCTAAAGAGAACAGGCACAATCCCTCAGTGCAGGCTACGGCATACGCTTGCCCCGTTGGCATGAAGCGCACTGAGAAAACTTTGATTTTCGGTTTGAGGCTCCTACTTGCCATGTCACCCTTTTGCACACCAGGTAGACCAATTGCCACGTTGCCGCCCTCCAGTTCCTCACGCGTCTCAACGAGCGCCATATTACCGAATTCCGTAAGATTGCGACGATTTATGTACTCCTGAAATAATAATTGAGATTAATCATTGCCACCACTACTCCTCCTTTTAATTTTTGCCACTCACGTCCAAACCATCCAAGCTATGGTTTTGTGTTATCTCGAACTTCTTCAATAACAACGCTTCGCGCGCATGATAAATACATATGTAATGTGAATTACCACCGGCTATAATGCATTCACCGTCAACAGAATATTCAATGGAAGTGAAGTATCTACAATTTTCGAAAAAGTTTGAATGGCTTGCTGTTCAAAGCTTTGGTTTCGATAGTTAACATACTTGCCCTCCAAGTTCTTTTTGCCTGTTATCACATCGCTTCCGTAGCGGCCACCTGCTAAATCGTTGCGCCCCTCTATGCAACCTATTTGTGTCGCTGTTTTCACATCGAAAATCGTTATATGACCATTGAGTGTGGCGACTGCAATCTAAGTGAGATAGTTATGTAAAGTTTAAACAATTGCTGAGATCATTATTACACAATATTTACTTACGTGCTCACCACTAGGACTAAATGTTACACATGTCGCATCTGCAAACACATCAATTGTTTCATGCTCGCTATTATTTTCAAGACAATTCCATATTTTAACCGTTTTATCCCAAGAACCTGACACAAGTGTGGTCATCGTAGATATGGGTGAAAAGGCTACCGAGCAGACAGGGCCTTCGTGACCGCTTATCACTTCAAGTAATTTACCCAATTTCACTGACCACAGGTACATTTCGAAAACATCCTGACAACCGGCAACAACAAACTCACTTGAATGATCAATGGCTACACATGAGAATTGCACGCGTTCGGGCGAACTGAATGTACGGAAATTGCGGTATCTAAAGAGAAGAGAAGATAACAATAATTACTACACCTTTGTTTGTGTGATTCTTGTCCATGCACTTTACCTATTGATATCAAATGCGCGCACTGTGCCATCCAGTGAACAGCTCACTAGGAAATTTTTATTGCGACTAAATTGTATGCCTGTAACTCCACTACTATGTTCACTGAATGTAACAAAACAGAAGCCACTTTGTGTGTTCCACAGCTTTACTTTAGAGTCCTCGCCACCTGTAGCTATATATTGACCATCTGGTGAATAGCTGATACAAGTCATTTCACTACTGTGACCTTGTTGTTTCATAATATACTGTTCGCCTGGATAATATTTGCAAGTTTTAGTTTTATTTTATTAAAATACAATTATATTCATTCAAAGACCTACTTTGCCATTCCCACACAAGTAACTGTCCTAATTCGCGTGAGGCTAGTGCTACCCAATCACCGGTGCCATTGAATAGCGCAACCGATATAGCATAGTCGGAAATACTCAGCGAATGTATCATATTGACATCAGGTAGCTCGTAAAGGTAGAATGTACCGATACTGAAGGCTACCACTAATATTTTGGTACGATTATTATAATGCGCCGCTGTTACTACGGCATTATAGTTACTTTTCCGTGGCTCATTGCCCAAGTAATGTCGGCAAAGTTTTTTGTACGAAAAAACATGTGTTTTGCTGACTGCAGGGTCCTTAACTTCGTTTTCATCTTCTGGTTCAGCTTCCGCTTCATTGTCGTCGCGCGCTTTTTCTTTATCTTCCACGTCATCCTCGGATTCCTCGTCCTGAGTTTTGACAACCTTTTTCTTTTTCTTGTTCGTCATATATTTTAGAGCTTCGCGTTGCTCTGCTGTAAAGTCTTCCATATCTGAAGGATTGCAACTGCATTCCCACAGACAAAGCTGCCCACTGCGACTCAGTGAATTCGCATGCATACTGTTGCGCTCAAAGAAACTTGCAATAATAGCGTCGGTATGTCCAGACAATACGTAGGTACGAAAATTTGTGAATAAACGTAACCCAACAATTTTGGTTGTGCCATCACGACTGCCAACGGCTAGAAAGCGCGAATCGGTCGACCAATCTAGCCAGGTGACGTCATCGAATCCACCAAGAAAGCGACGCTTCAGGACGAATGGACTGTATTCCCCGGTTAACTCACCAGGTGAAGCGAAAATCAGCACAAGATTGTCTATAGCGACTGCGAAATGTGTACCATCAGGGCTAAAAACTACACATTGTGGTTTTGAACGGAACTTGTGGCGATGAATTACAGCACATGATACCATACTAATAAGCTGTGCTTGACCCACTTCATTCACTGCAATCAGCAAACTACCATCCGGGGACAACGCTATGTTCACATAATTGTAACGCGACTCAAGTGATAGTGTGCGCGACTTGTGGCTATAGTGGGTGATAAAAATATTTGGATTTTCGTAGTTCTGAGGGCATTGATGGCAACTTTACTTACTTTCTCAAATCATATATTGAAATCCTATTGCCGACCGGGCTGATAATGCTATTACCATCTGGAGTAAATTGTAAGTTTCCATTGCGATATATTGCGCCGAGCAAATTAGAAAACTTCATAGAAGCGTTAGTTAAATCACCATTGTTACTGTAATATTAATTTATATTACCTTATATGAGAACTTCATGCCAAAGTGCGATAGTTAGTTAAGGCAAATAAAGTCTATAATACACGAGGAACAAGCTCCGAAAACAGCATTTGCAAATATAAACAAACCACACGTGTTTTCATACCGAGGTGGCTTTTGTAACAGGTATGCTATGGGAATGAAACACAAGACCAAAACCTAGACAGTGTTGGTATTCGCTCGAAAAAATTAAAGCAATTTTTAACGTTTTTTAATTAAAAAGTTATATACCGTTATTTTTAAAGAAAAAAATATTTCTGCATGAATGTGTGACAAAAATTGGTATTAGTTAAGAATCCGAACTTAGCAAAAACTGAAAAAAAATATGTATAGACGGAGATAGAGGTTTTTGAGACAAGTATAACGATAAAATTTTTTCTGGGTGACAACTACGGTAGTTAGGAAAGGTCAAAGCTCAAATGTAGCGCTTTTTTGAATCCAAATTTGTATCTCGAAAACCATCGCACGGGTTCTTAAAATTTTTTGCCATTCACAAGAAAATATGAGACGCTTAGAAATGACAAAAGAAGAGGAGTTACCGCCCCTCGTCTCCGGCAACACAGAAAAGATAAGGGATCTAATCCCTAAGCGCGACCGAAGGCCACCAACGCAGAAAGGTGTCCGCTTCTCTTCTCGGCAACACAGAAAGGAGAATTCTACTCATCTATCTAATGAGATTTGAACATGGACATTCTTGGCCGCGACCAATTGTAGTAAACATCTCAGCTACAGCCAGACTTGTAAATGTGCTTTCAAATGTTCAGTTTGAATTGTGTGCAAGCAGCAAGTCGATTGTTCGAATCTGCATTTGATTTCACCTACTTTAAAATGCATTTGGCTTAAAGCAATGCAAAATCAGTATGTTTCTTTTACAGATGACAGTTAGATGATTTTACAACTAATATTGAACTATTTACAAAGATATGTATCAAAAGTGCAAGCATTTGGTTTATCTCAATGAGGCTGCTAGGTGATTATACATACATATGTACATAAATTTGAAGTTAGTTGCTGCTTGAGTAGAAATAAACAAATTTTTCTGAGGTAATTGGTTGAGCTACGCCGTACTGGGCGCCTACCCGGAAAAAAGTTTTGCGCAAAAATACTGTGGAAAGTGTAACTGGTATTGGTCCTACCGGGCATATTTTTCTGAAATACTCCGATTAGAGAGGACTGAACACAACCTGTTGTATATAATTGAAGCAACTCTAATTTTGTACTAAATGAAGTATATAGTACTAAAACAAATGAATTACCACACTGTTAAGCGAATTAGTTCTATATCAGCAATTAATGAAGCAACACATATTATTATTGTACTCCGCTGGTGTCTATTATTACTCTGCTCATCTGTTGCTGCGCAAATATCAAATTATATGAAACGAAAACATGATTCGTGTGCTATATAATTATAAGACTTTTAAATGTAATTAATAAGGCAATTTAAAAAAAAAAATCTCAATCTTTTTTATATGAAAAAATGCGTAGGAAAGCCAGCAAAAATTTTTCAAAAATTAACGCAATAAGAAAATACACGCAAATGTTGTTTTTGCTCTAATGCTACTACCTGTTTGATATGCCTGCTTTTAGGAGCGTTCCTTATCTCCCAGAAATAGTCAGAAAAAGTCCGAAGTAGTCAGATTTAGTCCGAGTCCTTAACTCGGAAATGACAGCTGGGGTGTTCACAGTTCGTTCCAAATAGTGTCTCAAAATGTAGACGTCTACATTTTAAGACGTTTTCTAACCGTAAAATCTGTGGTGTTGTTGTTTCCCATACAAAATTGGAAAACGACGCCGTCTACATTTTGTCACACTCAAAGGTATGTTTTTTACGCGTCTACATTTTGCAACCTCGCAGCAGGGTTGCATTATGGCAATACTAATCACATTTTTTTTATTTATTGGGCACGTTTTCTGTATTTGCATTTAATTTGAGCGCAATTTCTGATGAAAAGAAACAAATCAAGGAAAAGAAATAACAAATATTACGAATTGCTAATTAAGTTAAATAATTACAATTTTTCAGAAACAAAATCGAAAGGCGACATATAAACAATGCACGCAAACAAGAAATGTCTGGCAACACCAGCAAAGTTTTGAGACGATTTTGCGACGACTGCTAGAAAGGGGTGCTCACAGTTTGATGCTAAAAATGTCTCAAAATGTAGACGTCTACATTTTCAGACAGAATTTGGAACGAACTGTGAACACCCCAAGCAAAAATGAGAGAACACTCAGTGAGAGTGAGAGTCCGAAGCAGTGATGAAATTGATGGTACAATTGTACTGTTTTGGTACATTTTGGAAGCCAAAAGTACATTGGTACTACATCGACATTTTTGATACATTTTTGTCAAGATACGGTACTGCACCACAATTATGTCGAAATACCACACTCTATTTACTTGGAGATTTGAATTTTTGTGCATACAAATATTGTAATCTTTTTCAACCTTATTTAAGTAAATACGTGGTGTTTATTAAAAACGAAACTCTTTTTTAAATCAAAAAAAGTTGCTGTCATAATAGGTCTATAAAATAATAAAATTTTCCACTAAGTACTAGCGGCGAGAGAATAAAAGAATCATAGCGAGTAAAATTTAGGGGAAGACTAAATTATCAGAACAAGTTATTGAACGCAAAACTTACGCCATTCTGACTTTCTGATAGTTAAATTTGGTAGGAGTATTTTTGTATTTTCCACACAAAATTATCCAGCAGCAAAAATTCTGAGCAGTTTGCAAAATTTGCAATAACTTGCAATCTTTGAAACAGCTGAACACTTTCACAGTAGCTGGTCCATTTGGTAATTTATTATCCGCTTGGTGCATTGTCCCCGATTTGGAATTTTTTTACTATTGAATACTTTTGTATAGGAAAAATGTTTTTAAGATATAATTGAATTATCTCGGAATGAATAAGTTTTTTTTCTAACAAAATTTGTGATGCCACATCATGACGCATTCAAAAATAAAAGAATCTCCTCCAAGTGCCCATCCTTGTTTCACAAAAATTAAGTAGATATAGCTACAAATATGCCTTTAAAATTATCCCATTTTCGTTTTAACGATCAACTGACAAATTCGGTCGGAAAATTTCAGTATTATTTATTTTGGTATATTTCTGAGAAAAATATGGTACAATTGAAAAATTTTCTTCGTTTCTTTTGTTTATTCACGAACACATGTTTGGGATCAGCAGACATTTTTACTTGTAAGTTTTCGCAGGTAAAATTTTTTCCAGCAGAAATTGGCAGATCTCAGTATCAGTTTGCCCTCTCGATTTCCTCCACTTCACAAGATTTTAGGTACGAGAACATTGCTATTAACTTGTTTATTTCTATAGGAGGAAATATTTTGCAAAATATTTTTGTGAAGCTTCCATTCCGCTAAATGTAACGGCTTTTTTTGAAAATTTTTGTATTACTAAAACTTAATAATTATGACTTGTATACTTTTGTTGATTAACTTGGCGTTTTGGTTGTATTTTCAAACAATTCATTCGCACTTATGTTTTCTACCTTCGACACGCCATGTTTTATATCATGATTTTTATACAGAAAATCTAAAAACATATGTATATATAACTATGTCTGTATAGTGTTTTAAATGTTGGTACTTTTTCGGCTTATTTAGTACACTTTTTTTTAGTCATTTGGTACAAAATTAAAAAACTCATTTATCATCCCTGGTCCGAAGTAGTCAGATTTAGTCAGAAGAATTTTTTCTGGCAAAATCTTGAAAAGTGTCAAACTCAACTGAATTTAAATTAACGGAAATTATAGAATACGCAGAAAGTGAGAATATTCTAAAAAGTGAATTGAAATTGGAAGGAGGCAAAAAATAATCGATATAGTAAGTGTTTATTGTGCTTGTGCAGAATGTGTTTTGTACATACATTTCCATTCTTATTTGACGTTAGTTTTGTTTTTGCCGTTCTTTGGACTAAAACTTTGTTTTTTTGCGTTCCTTTACTTTTCCTGTTATTATCTTTTAGTGAGCGCATTCTGCTTACGCTCTGGCATTTTGACACTTTTCAGATTTTAGTCCAAAAAGATAAGGAATGAACTTTTCATGTGCATTGGTCAGAAACCGCGCGCAAATTTTAGAATTTGAAACCTATGACATTATACCAAACTCCGCATTTGCTGTCACGTGGTTGTCGTCAGTGATCGGACGTCTCTACCACATTGTGGTAGATCTGCCACTTTCGTGAGCATCTACCACATATTCGCGCTTTTGAGTACCTAGTTTTATTTTTACTCGACATAATTTTCTCAATTTCAAGAGAAAAAGTTATCCAACACTAAAAACTATATAGTAGCAAGAATGATATAATACAAAATTCCACATTCCCGGCGGCGATGAAATTTCTCAAGTAAAACAAAGCCGAATGGGAGGATAAAATAAACTGTAAAATAATAGTAAATTTTCTCAATATTCAATTTTTCGGCAAGTAACGTGGTTTCATTATGTTAAATTTTAAAATATATGATTTATTCAACAATTTTTTTTGAGCTCGAGGCCGTTTTTTAAAGAAAATTTATTGTGGAAAAGCAACAATAATTTGAAAAAATGGTAGAAGTGATAGCTATTTCGGAAATTACCACATTTCCTCATCAGACTTCTTTCAGTAGGATTCGAACCGACGATCCCACTGACTCAGCCAGTTGCCTATGCACCGTGCTAAGTACGCCTTGTAAATTATCGTTTGCTATTTTCCACTATCTTCATTTTTGTTATGCCAACACAATCAAGCGCAGCTATTCCGCTGCAATTCACTTGATCATGTGGTTGTTGGTATTGTTGGTTTTTGCTAATAATTTTATTTTTAGAATGTTTAACTTTTTAGGTGTGCTCGTCCTTAAGTTATTTGTTGTTTGTTATTTTTTGGTCTTTTAACAACTATATTCAACAATTTTTATTGAGCTCGAGGCCGTTTTTTAAAGAAAATTTATTGTGGAAAAGCAACAATAATTTGAAAAATGGTAGAAGTGATAGCTATTTCGGAAATCACCACATTTCCTCATCAGACTTCTTTCAGTAGGATTCGAACCGACGATCCCACTGACTCAGCCAGTTGCCTATGCACCGTGCTAAGCACGCCTTGTAAATTATCGTTTGCTTTTTTCCACTATTTTCATTTTTGTTAT